CTTGAAGAGGAGGCTGCGGCAGAATTGTGGAGTCACGCAAAAAGCCCTCCATCAACACGAGTTTTCCGGTGAAGTGACTTTAAAATTCGACTGGGGTTGGGGGGTGAGGGAGCCACTGTAAAGAGTGTCCTGACAGATGCCCATCTGCTTTGGCGAGTGGGACACATTGAAGAAGGATGAACATTGCAAGCCAGACCCCCAGTTTGCTCAAACCCTCATTCGTTAAAGCCTGCCGGGCTTTCTCGCTCAGACGCTTGGAGTCGAAGGGATTGAGGTGGCGTGTAGATCTATGTAGCAAAACAAGACTTTCTCCACGACGGTCTTATGATGTCTTTTGTCGTGAGGACCATGCCCGACAACCCAGGCCCATCCACACTAATAGTTCATGGACATGAAAGAATCTGAGTGATTTCGTTGGTTGCAAACGCAGTGGCAAGCCAGGAGACACCGCTTCGCTTCAGCAAGACTTTGCGTGCACTCGCTAGTGTAGCAAGTCCGAAGCACCACACCCTAATCCTCTCGGTCCCAGAGGAAAGTCGCCCTTTACATTCCTTGCGACTACGTTGCGTGCTGCTGGCAGCCGCGGGGGCGTCGCCAAACGGCCGGTGCGGGTCGAAACGCTGGGGCCTTCAGTCTAGGATTCAAGCTTTTGGGTGACAAGGGTTCAAAGGTGCAGAGGCCTCCTAAGCAAGACAAACCCTCAACTCTGAACTTCCTGAGCCCTGCGTGAAGCGATGTGAAGAGCCTTGGGGTTGGGATTCTAGATCTCGAGGGTTGGGAAATTCGTATTTGGATCTCTGGGTTTTCGGGGGCCAAGAGTGCAAGAAGATAGCTTGTGCCACCAGCCATGATGTGTTTTCATGGCCTAGACCCAGGCATTCTTCGCAGATCCCAGCATGCTTACGCTTCAAAAGCAATGGTTACTGCCCAGGCTGCTCTACTGATTCGACTGAGCTTCCCCTGCGTGGTTCGGGTGCAGGAAAGCTTCCGCGAGGCATTCGGGCTCAATTCGGGATTTCGAATTTTAGTGGTTTGGGCATGGGTTTGGGTCACAAACCCAACCCCTCCCTCAACCCGACGCTCTTTTTCATGGGCATCTTGGGTCTAGGTTCCGACATGCGCAAATCTAAAAATGCATACGACTGCGTCCTCACGACCTTCGCAAAGATTTAGAGGTCAAGACCTCACAGCTTGACCTGAAGCCCAGACACCCACGATTGGCCCAAATGAAACCATTAGCCATGAAAGCTAAGCCGTAACCACCTGCCTCTCCACCAAGAACACCTAGCGATCGCATTCTTCGCACAGCCAGCCCTTCTCTGGATCTTGGGGGTTAGGGTTTAGGGCGTACATGTCAAATAACTCGAAAGACCCCTCTATGAGCTCTTTCCGGCCCTCAAGTCGCTCACTGAAGCCGATCTTTAAGAGGCAAAAGGAGGGACCCCTAGAAGGGACCCTTGATCTTATTCCCCTATATAGCCCCTATATCTCTTATATAGTCCCTAATATACCTAAGTAGCCTCCAAATAACCCCCAAAGCAACCCCTAAGATCCCTCATAAGGGTCCCTCCTTTAGCCCCTTGAGATATGACAATGAAGGCAGGTGGCTGTGCTAGCCGTAAACCTTCTCAAGGAATCATGACACCCCGTAATCCCCAAGCCCTACATGCTTCATCCTGTCCAGGCTTCACCTACTTTCGAGAAGCAAGCTAGGAACCCTAAACCCTAAACCCTAAACCCTACGCCCTACACCCTACACCCTAAACCCTCAAGGCAAATCTGATCTTGGGCGCCCCGGCGGCTCAAGGTCTTCGCCGGCAACGGCGTCAGGGAGGACGAGGATGCCAGGCCCTCGGCACAGCTCCCAGGATCTCTACGGCCAGGGACTTCAGTCATTTGCATGAAATGGGCCAAATGCCGGGTATTGCAGGCATGAAGGCTTCTGTAGCCCAGGGTCGGAAGGTTTCGAGTTGTGGTGAGGCTGCGATTTGGGAATTTCTGCCTGTGGAGAACGAGTTTTTGGGCTAGTTAATTTAGCCGCTGGAAGGGTGTGGAATGTCTCATGAGGCGATGGCAGAAAGCCTTGAAGTGTAAACATGCCCCAACATCTCAGCCCTAACCAAGAAGGCAAAGACCGTTGAGATCCTGGCTTTGAGCTTCGGCAGGCTCCGCAGTCTCGGGATCGGGGGCCTCACTTCAAGATTTAACTTGAACGTTTCAAGCTAATTCGGTTGACGTCCAGGGATTTCAGAGCTAAACCAACATCCGAGGGAAGCGACGGCACAACGTTCTGACCTCCTTGACGGCCGAACCTTCAGGCTAAGTCCAGGACAGCAGCGGATTGGAGAGCCTTGCAAACAACCTTAGCTCAGGGTTTCCACGCTTGTACTCCAGACTCCTGAAGCCCTGTAACAAACCGCATGCCTAATGCCTAAACACATAATCGACATCGTAACCAAAGAGAACCCTAAACCCGGAGTGCATGCTCGCCCTCAAGCTCCCGAAGAACGAAGCCCCTAGACCCTCAAGTCTAAGAGCCCTTTTGATTGTTTTTGATTCTTTCTTTTGTGTGCGTGTGTCTGGGAGAGCAGAGCCCAGGGACAGGGTGGATATTGGCACAGAAAAGCAGACATTGGCCTCCAACCTTAACAGAGCCGTTGGCTCCCAAACTCTAAGCTTTCAACCAATCAACAATGACTCCCTATAAGCCCTACACCCTAAGCGCTAAAACAACCAAAAATGAATCCCTATAAGGCTTTGACGCAACCAAAAATAACTCCCCATAAGCCCGAAGCCCTAGGCTCTACAAGACAAACCGAGTGTGTATCCCTAGAATACCTAAGTCCTAACCCCTAAACGCTACATGCTTCCATAGCCAAGCAGGCTGTGGAAACCCAAAGCCTTTGAAAACCTATTGCCTCAACCCAACATAGAAACCGTGCCTTCATCTACGTGGTATGAACGCTCTACCTCCAGGCAATAAGAATACTGTGGGCTCTTGACCGCTGTCACCATCACTTCCTGTCTCTTGTGCGGCCGACTTGTTACCCTCGTTCCCCCTTTGACTACTGAGGGTGTAAAGTGAGTGATATGTAGTGAGCTCACAGGCGTGCTTTTACAAGTTCACGCATGACATTACGCCGTGAGCGAACGAAATGAGCAAGCACAAAAGACCCGTTCACAAGCTCACTCTTCATGGTAGTACTTGTGCTGCGCGAAAAAGACGAAACTCATGTGTGATACACCCCAAGTTCATGTGGACGACCACCTTCCCTTCTAAGCCACGAGGCTGTTTAAATGATGATACCTTTCTGGGCTCAGGGTTTGGATGGTTGGGTGCAGGGTTTGGATGGTTGGGCTCAGGGGAGGCTTGCTGCGCATAGCAGCTTTGCCAGTGCACTTAGCTCACCATTTAGGGTTCAACCCCGAGTGGTAGATGGCTTCATAGTTTTGCATGGTTGCACACGACCAAAGCCCTACTAAAAGCCTTATGACCCCTCAAGACATCTGAAAGCCTCGCATTTATAATGATTTTAGGGTGGACAAGGGAGGGTGCTTCTAGATGCTTAGGACGCTCTTGTCAATGCCAACACCCCGAACGCCCATAAACCCCAAACCCTGAGCACCCATAAACCAACGGAGCACAAACCGAGCCGCTGCGCCGGCGGAGATCAGCCACCCGCAGCAAGCGGCCTCTGTGAAGGGTGCAAGGGGCTGACGGCTTCTTCTTATCTTAGGGCCTTTGGGCTTCGGGGTTCAGGTTGCGGGCTTGAACGTATTGGGAAACTGAAGGATGGGAGTGCCCTTACGGAGTACCCCTGCAAAGCAAGCAGGCGGTCATGAACGACCCTGGGATGTCCTTTGGCACTGATCACAGCGATGTGCTCGCACGGCTTTCGGTACCCCTTCAACGTCACCGGCTCAGACAAAGCAATCTGATGATGATTCCGAGCGAGAAAGGGAGAGAGAGAGAGGAACAGCAAATCAGCTGCTGGCAGCCTGTTCGCATCCATCATATCAACAATATGCTTATCTGGAGATGTACATGGATGGCTTTCAGCAAGCTTCCATGCATCAAGAGCGACAGTCAATAAGCTGGGACCCAATCCCTCAACTCTCACATTCTAAGCATAGGCTGTGCACGCGAAGCATGCCCCCCGGTTTTTCTGCTCTCGCAGTTCTGCGACGCGTGTTTGCCCACTGCCTCGAGCCCTAGACCCGATTCGGATGCTTTTGCTTGGGGGTTCCTACGTCAGCTTCCTCTTTGGATGCTTGCATGTCTCTTGGTTCAGGGTCCTGCCTGTTCTTGGACTTTACAGAATCTTCAAGAACGACGATTCTCGAGAACTCCCCACCTAACGTGTGAGACGTAGGTCCTGCTGGACCTGCTGTCCGAAGATGAGGCACAGGGTGGAGCTAAGTCTAGCTCCACTAAACCCTGAACCTAGAGCTGTTGGGAGTGGGCCCTTAAGGTTTAGGGTTTAGGGTTTAGGGTTTAGGGCTTTAGAGCCCTCAACCCAACAGCCGGCCTGCCGGTCTGAGGCTGAAGGGGTTGCAGAGCTTACCAGGGGTTTCAAGCTTGGCCTAGGGTCGAAGGGGGACTACAGCTCAGCTTTGCTGCAGGATGTCATCCCCTGGGGCTCCAGCTCCAGGGTTTAGGGTTTAGGGTTTAGGGTTTAGGGTTTAGGGTTTAGGGTTTAGGGTTTAGGGTTTAGGGTTCAGGGTTTCCCAGAGGCGCCATGCCCTGAACCTCAACATTTCTCGGACTCGAAGAAGGGTAAGTGTTCTGTCTGCGCCCAGGCTTTGGGGCGCAGCCGAATCAGGGGAAGCTTGAAAATTAAGCAGGGGCGCCTGTGGGTTTGGTGCCATTTTTAAACCCTAAACCCTAAACCCTAAGCCCTAAACCCTAAACCCCAAGCCCTAGCCCTAAACCCTAAACCCATCAACACGCCTCCTGAAAGCCTATGGCTCGCAAAGAAGTGCGAAGCTCAGGTCTTAAATCAGGGGTTCATCAGGGGTTCGTAGCCCTTCTCTGGAGGCCTCAGGCAAAGCTCATGGATGTGAGTTTTGAGGTGTGTTGAGGCGCTTCAGGAGTTTCGGCCCCCCCGCCCCCCCCCTCTTTCCACGCGCCTGCCACCGCCAACCCCCCCTCCCCCCCCTCCGCGACCACAACGTTTCGAGCTGTGGTGCTGCCATTGTTTTCCGGATCCTGCGCTTTGTTCGCACCACGTATAATCAAGGCTGATCAGGCTTTATACCTCCAGTAGCAACGTGCGCCTGTAGGTGATCCTCCGCGTGTAGCACGCGCTGTCTTGCGTGCCGCGCTACTGCCCTCCTGCGCAGTACCTGCGGTAACTCAAGGGTCCTGAGTCCCAAACCCCAAAAAGCCTAATTAAACCCGGTGCATCGCCTTGTGCCGTGAGTTTCTGCTGCTTTCACCCAGCTGGGGGCTTGGGGGCTTCGAGGAGTTTCCAAACCTACGAGGCTTTCGGGTTCACGGTGTAGTGCCATAGACGCCAGCGCAAACTCACCTTGCACCGTCTTCGGCAAAACCTTCGCGCTACAGTGTCGCTTCCCGCTCATACCAACATTTTCAGGCCGAGCAATGTCAACAGATCCCAGTGAGTAAGCAATTTTCGGATTGGGTGAGCCTGTCATGGTCCATGACATGTGAAGCCTACAAATCCACTGCATGAAGATACCTTCCCTACCACCGTGTACATTCACAAGCCACACACTTTTTTAAGGACCTAAACCGCAGCCTGGAGTAATAGGTGCCAAACTGGCAGCAGAACACACAAAAACACCTGAAAACTTAGGCCTTCAGTTGTGGGTTCCTTTGGGGGGTGCTCGGCCTGCTGGGAGGGGCCCCATCCGCCTGACCACGACTGGCGTCCTCGGTCGCCTGCCGGAGTGTCGGATTCTGGATTTCGGTTTTGGACCGCTTGGTAGCTTCAAGGGAGTCGGGCCCTACTCCTAGACGATGTGAGTACAAGTCAAAGAAGTCCTGGGAGCCTCCGGTGCCCAAACCCTAAACCCTAATTACTCCCTAAACCGTGCACCCTAGTTACACCCTGGACCCCAAACCGGTACCCCTGTCGTCAGGTGCTAACTAGGACCCGGAGCATTGAGTGCAGCTCGCAAAAACTCCCAAATCCTAGACCCTAAACCCTAACCCTAAACCCTAAACCCTAAACCCTAAACCCTAAACCTCCTAGACACTAAAAGCACTTCAGGCTGGTTCTCAAATTTAGGGAATGAGAAGACTAGGGCCCTGCGTATAAACCGTTTAAGGGATTATGTAAGGCCCTAATTCCCTCATTCCCTATATATAGATTAATATATCTATATATATATATATATATATTAATATGAATTTTTTCTTCGTGAAGGGCATGAACAGGGACCTACTTCCCTCATTCTCTGCTTAGAACCAGGGGGGGTGGGCTTGGGGGCTGAAGGAGAAGCTACCAGACATGCCGGGCTTTTGTTCTCGAGGCTTCACACGGTATGCCAAGACGTGAGAGCCGCGCAGAACAACTCCAAACTGCTGGCTTCATGATAGAACCACCAGCCGCCCAAAAAGAACTAAAGCCTCTACACACTCAACACCGCGAAAGCCGCCAAAAGCTAAGCAACGACCCCAAAACCCGATCTTAGGTTTCTAGACCCTGGAACCTGAAACCCTAAACCCAAAGATAAACCCTAAACCCTAAACCCTGAAGTTCTGAGGTGTAGGAGTATGTGGAGGAAGGCCCAGGCCCATGAGCAGGGCAAGGCTTGACTCGGGACCGTGAACATCCTGAAGCTTACATCCAACCGTCAACCCTGAACCGCACAGGCATCTCTACTATTTGCTTAAGAACCCCCCCCCCCCCCCCCCAAAAAAAAAAAAAAAAAACACACACACACACACACCATATTCTTCCTTATAAGGGCAATGTAGGGATTACCTTTTTTTTGGGGGGGGGTTCTTAAGCAAGTAGTAGATCTGAGAAGGCTGCCAGAAGCTTCTTGCCCAACAAGCACAGCAAGACCAGAGAGCTGATCACGAGGGCGAGGGCAATCTGGGCTCACTGTTCCGAGGATTTCCGGGGACGCTTTTCAGGACCCTAAACCCTAAACCCTAAACCCTAAACCCTACACCCTAAACCCTATAAACCCTAAACCCTAAACCCTAAACCCTAGCCCTAAACCATGGCAGAATCAGAACAACTCAAGGTTTGGTGAGTGTTGTCGGCGGGAACTTTAAAACCCAAATTTTGCAAGACGTAGCCCAACCGAGCGTTCCGAGGAAGTGCTAGGTGTTACTAGCAAACATTCGGGCTTCCCGCCTTTTAAAGAGAGGAGTGGTTGAAGGCCTCGAGAACTGTCCGACTAATGTGACAAATGACAAACGCCAGCTTAGGAACTGAACCGCTTTCGGGGGAACAAATTCCATTGCACGCGTGTTTCCAGGGCCTGACAAGGCCCGATCTTGCATCGACCGTTCTTTAGACCAGAGACAAAACGACGTGAGACGACGTGCGCACGCACCTCAGTGCCTAAGCAGAGAGGAGAAGGGGTTTACTGAAATACTCGCCCGCATTGTTGCGCGCGCGCGCGCGCCTCTCCCAGGAATGGGCGGGCTTCGAGGCTGAAAGCAGGTCTCACTACAGGCGTTCAATGGGTTCAAGAGAGTCAAGGGTTTGGAGTAAAACTTTTAGGACTTAAGGCGGATTGGGGGATGAAGGCCGCTTTGTCTACGTTAGGAGTGGGCATTCTGACTTCTCGTGTTCAGGGTTGAGCATCCCGGGCTCAGCCTCTCCAATCCAAGCCTAAGGGAATGATGCTTTCAGCGTTTCGTGAGTGTGTAATGACCCCCCTAAAACACAAAGCCATCCGATTCGTCGTGCAAATAATCTTTAGCAGCGGCTTTCCCACGACAACACCTGATGACAGGTTTTTGCATACCTCACCCGCACGAACGATGGCTTAACAACAGTTGAGGCCTCAGTTTTGCAAGGGTTCCGTTGCATTTACAAGGGTTCCGGGCTTTCGGTATTTCAGGCTGTGACCCTAAACCCTAAACCCTAAACCATAAACCCGCGAAGCGGCAAGTTTGCCAATGACATCCAGGAGAAATCGCAGAGTCTCGTCCATGAAGGAATTTGTGCCAGCAGCGCCACCTCACAGCGGTTTTTGGATTTAGGGTTTAGGGTCCCAAGATCCCAAGATGAGCAGGTTTCACAATCCAAAAGTACCCGCAGCCATCAAACCTCTACAAAGACCGGATCAAGCGGTGGTGGGTTGTCGGACCTACCCCCCACTCGCAAATGGTTTGCTTGTGCAAGCAGGAGAGAGGAATGCAAATCACGAAGAACAAGATTCTGCCATGGTGCCTATTTTCCTGTTGCAATACAAGAGTATATCGCAGCCTCTGTGACTGTGTCGGTGTAAGTCTTCAGCTTCGAGACTTGCGGCCGCCCGTCACACGTTGGGGTTCATCTATCACTAAGTTAAGAAATCCTTGATTCGCGGACGAATGTGCGAACGCCTCCCATGCGCCAGCGTCGCGACACGCCTGGGGACTAGTGAAGGTTGTCGTTCGCGGACGAAAATTCGACCACCTCCCACGCGCCAGCGCCCAGGGATACGAGAGGGTTGTCGTTTGCGGACGAGAATGCGAATCCTCCCACACGCCAGCATCACGACACGCGACGAAAATGCGAACGCCTCCCACGTGCCAGGATCGCGACGCACCCGGGACACGAGAGGGTTGTCGTTCGCGGACGAAAATATGAACGCCTCTCACGCGCCAGTGCGCGACACGTCGGGAACACGCAGAGGGTTGTCGTTCGCGGACGAAAAATTGAACTCCTCCCACACGCCGGCACGATCTTTGGGCAGGTGCGGCGAGTCCCGCTAACCCTACCCCGTGCTTCAAAACATGTTTAGCTTAAAGCGGAAAGCCACGAAATCCATCACGTCGTCCATCCATCCATCATCCATCACGAAATCCATCCATGCATCATCGATAAAGAAGAATCTTCCCGAAGACCACCTGCGCTGAAAACCCCTCGCCATGCTTTCGGGAAAAGAACCAGGTTTCAGCTACTAATCCCTACTTTGGAGTAGACCCTGGAAAAAAACATATACTGTTTGGGTATAAGCAGCTCTAATAGGAGCCCAGAACCAAAAAACGTATTAAGGTAGAGTACTCCAACACCCAGTTATTGAACCCCGGCCTTGGAAAAGCACCACCTCCTCAGTGTTCTGACCCTCGACATCCCCCAGGGGGCGTGCCTGGCTTCTGGAGGGCCCGGGCTTATAAGGAGTCAGTTGAGACATCAAGCGTCTCGGAAACTTAGGTTGTGTGAAGCTCCCTTAGTTGCAGGGTGTGGGGCTCAGGGCTTCAGATGCTTCGCAATTTCTAGGGCTTGATGGTTCAGGGGCAGTTGAGGCTGAGGGGCTCCGACACGAAGAGTTTGATGCTTTGAAGTGGTTGTCTGAAAGCCATAGTGTCCGTCTAGATGCCTAGTAATGCAGCTTTTCGACTTTTGGAAATATTTTCATTGCCCCGCCGATGATCCTTGATGACTCGTGACGGCTCGATGTTTCTATGGCTACCTGCAACTAAATTTAGCTAAATTTAGCTCAACACAAGGAAGTCGCAAGAACGCCCAGGAGGAGAACTGCCGCGTTTTGGCAGTGGCCATGTCGCCGCCATCCTCCGCAAACTGTCGTCTCTGTCATCGAAGATGCAAAGTGGCAGCCCTCTCGGTGAGTGCAGTGCCATCGTCGCCATCGCCGAACCCGTCATTTCGTGGGTCGTCTGATATTTTTGCCAAAGGTATCAAGAGTCAAACAGGGTTTTCGTTATTGATATTTTTATCACCCTTACTCGCCATATAACCCTCATAAAGCCGTACAAATTTTTTCCAGGCCCCCCAAACCTGCCCTGGCAAAGGGGTCGCCTAGGGCACGGGGTTTCCGGGCTCCCAGAACTAGAGCTGTCGTGGCGCGTCGGGGTCATGATCGTCGTGACTGTGGTCGTTTTGTAGCACAAGTTGGGCTTTTCCCCTTTATACTCAGAGTCCTGAAAAGGGATTACAGTACCCCTCCCCCCCCCCCCCCCCCAATTTTATCCCTGCTAAGGACTGTTGGCTTTAGGGGAGCGCCCTAAAGTACAAGCGTAGTTCGCGGATGTCCAGAGCTCCCTCGGTTCTCGTGCACAGAAGCAGGCGCTGCTGTGGTCTTGGATGTTGCGGGGTTAACAGGATGGGCAGTTGGGATGTTCCCCCTTATACTAACAGTCCTGTATTAATGTGCATGAAAATAGAGGGTACTTTGATCCCTATTAAGGATTGGGGAAGGTGAGCTAGTAAGCTCAGTTGTGGATGCCGCGGTGGGCCTGACGTCATTCATTTTTTCAATCTGCCGGATAGGAACTCACTCCTCTCAGCATTCTACCGATGCTGCAGGCGGCCTGCTCGCCAGAAGAGGTCTGAGGTCTGCAAATAGAGGGCTTAGCCGGTGTCTCAGCCATAAAGTGAACTTCTGCCAACTCCCATATCCTTACAGCCTCACACCCACCGACAACCTCACAAACCCCAAACCCCTTAAAATGCCAAACCCTCAATTCGCAAAGGCCCTGATCTTTGGCAGCCTCCCAGCCGTTCAGGCCCACGGTGGTGGTCCAGACGCGCTCTTCGCTGTGGTGGCGCTCTGGCCGAGGCTCTTCACGTTCTTCGCTCCTCGCGCCCTGAGACTCTAGGGTTTAGGGTTTAGGGTTTAGGGTTTAGGGTTTAGGGTTTAGGGCTTATCCTTCCGAGGTTGCCGAGCCGTTACACACCTGAAACTCTAAGACAAAAAGATAGCAAGGTATTTCGCAGGTTTTGGAGAGATGCGTTTCAAGGGCTCTATGTATAGAGTTGAGGATGCAGGGTTTTCAGGGCTTCAGCGTTCTCAACGCTTCAGGCTTTCGGGCCGAGTCTCAGGCATCGAGGAGCCCCATAAATTTGTTCGCCGTTCCAGTCAGGTCTTTGGGCTGCAGAACTCAGGTTCGCATCTTAGTGTTTGCAGATTGAAGCAACTCGCTCGTCCCAGCTGCAACAGTCGGGGCGGACCGACTTCTCATGACAAGGCTTTCGATGCGTTCGGTAGAACACCCTGGACCCAAAGCCTAGAAACCGCACATCTCCACACAGAAACTCACACTTACAGGCACCGCCTGCTTGTGGTCTGCTTCGGATGTCCGTGCCGCACTTGTTGAGGGGGTGGGGGTGGTGGTGCTGGTGGTGCTGGTGCTGGTGGTGGTGGTAGTGGTGGTGGTGCTGCTGCTCTTGCTGTCGCTGTGGCTCATGTCGTCCTTCGTGCCGTGGCTTCCTTAGCTCTTCGTTGGTTGACTTCTGGCCTTTCTGAACTGAATAAGGGGCGCAGACTCATGCCTCTGACTTGGCTTTTTAGGGGGCATGGCTTCGGCTTTTCGGGTACTGAAGAGCGTGAGGGATGCTCATGCGTAGGCATGTCCACAAAAAGCCAGAAGCTTGTTGTCATAAAGCGTAAAGGGGTGCGTGGTGGGAGCGCCTAAGAAGCATGGATCAGTCGGCTTCATCCCTTCAGACTACGAACGCGAAGGTGAACGCATGGCTCGAAATCCACCGGAGCCCAGCATCCAATCTTGCTCTCCCCTTTCGGCATGACCGTTCCCCTGTACCTTGGCTGCTCTTCAGAGGGGCTTGAGCTGCATCACACCGAAGAGCAGCAGTAGAACAAGCTAGATTATGCCTTTACATGGGGCAACGCATGCAGCCACAAGGCTAAGCAGAAGCGAAACTTATAGTGGCATGTGCGGTCTCTGATAGTCTGAGGGAACCTGGGACAAAGTAATCCTAGGGGTGTGCGACAAGTAAAAAGCAAAATTGAACAATTTAGGAAAACAGGGGACCCCTAAACTAGACCCCACATAGTAGGATCCCCTTATCATAAGGACCCCACGATGGTACCCTCCCAAATATCGTAACCCCCCCCCCCAGCTGAACGGTTTAAACCAGAAGCCAGGAGGTCAGACTCTTGTCCAGGACGTGCTGGCCTCAGTCGAAAGCAGCTTCTGCCACTGTTTGCAACCCCGGAGGGCATCCAGATAAACCCTAAAACCCTAAGGCCCTAAGATGAAGCCTTCTCCCCAAGTAGTCACGACATGCCCTACGACGAGGAGCTAGCGCATACGACACTTGTCCAGGTTTCGGGGGGTTACAGTAGTGGGCTTAATGAAGTCTTCGTGGGTGAGAGTGTGGCTTCTAGGAGAACCCTTGAAAGCTTCTCTGGAGAATGATGTTGCCCATCATGAATCAGGGCTTGTATGGAGACGGCTGAAGAGGCTCCTCACATACAATTCATCTTCACCTAGTGAAGCTTCTTGTTGTGGAGCGCTTGCAAATCTTGTTTGCACTTATAAACGGCCCATAGGCAGGCCATGGATACCTGCATTCCAAGCAGACTGGAAGCGTCAAAGCTTCACGCGTTCGCAGCTCACAGGTTTAACTGACTTGGAGGCACATGGATCGCGGTTGGGGTGAGAATTCTGTGTCGTGTGAGCCAAAAACGTCAATTGGGCCTAGGCTGAGCTCTAAAATGAAGCCATGCTTGCAAACTGTCGATGGGAAGCCCACCACAGCCCAAAACCATTCCAGCTTTCTAAGGAGATGAACAAGGAAGTGAAACATCACTCTTTCTCGGGGCCTTTTCTCTTGCATAGCCATGCAGAAACTTGTCGCGGCAGGTCGTGTGAATTTCTATCAAAGCTCGGCCAAAGAGGAGCTTGAAATCGAAGCAAAGAAGCCATGGCAGAACAACCTCGAACTCTGAACCCAAGTTGCGGAAGAAGCTGTCGATCAACTGGTTCGCTTGAGCTTGTCCAGAACCCTTGGGGCAACCTGCTTGTCGCCCCATTGCGCAGGATTAGGGCGTAGGGAGGAGGTGGAGGACTGTGAAAGCTTGTACCAATCTACAAACTAAGCCCTCTTGATGAGGACAAGCCTGACAGCGGGAATCTACATCCGTGGATCAGACAGCCTTGCCGTTCTATCCAATATTGCGAGGTGTGCATAATCTGGCGTAATTATGAACTCTTCAAGTACCTGCACACATGTACATGCCCGGGCCACTGGGCTCAATAGGCTCAACTGCTAGGGTTGCAACCGAACAGGGGTCACGATGGTGAGAAACACTCGACGGCGCATGCAGTGAGGTCAGTTTTCAAGTGGGGTTCGAATGAGATCCTGGTCAGGCAGATGGCTAACAACGGAGCCTTCTCCTGCACAGCCAGGCCAGAAATGAGATCCAGCTTCTGCTGGGACCTCCACGAGCCTTGTGCTGAAAGTCTAAGCAAGGTTTAGCTCTGAAGGCCACATTTGGGGCTTATGGGCGGCCTGATGTGTCTTTCTGTGCCTGGTAGAACCCTGAAGTCCTCGATGCTGCCTGATGTGAGAAGGCTCCAAGGATGCTATTCTTTCTGCTTGATGCAGGGCTGCCGGTACTTGCGCTCACAAAGGCGACGCCGGGACAATAGACATCAAGCTCATTGGCGTTTACGCTGCCTGCTGACATGATAAGCGTTCTTGTTCCTGAGTCTCCGAGAATGTAGGGCTTCGCTAAACGTAACCAGGCCCCTAAACTCGCTCAGGCTGAAATGGGCCTCTGCTCCAGTTTCAAGAACTTGAGGGCTTGCCTAAACTTTTGCCGAGGCAAGGGTCCGCTGGAAATCGTTACTCTGCTTAAGCCTTGATTTCCGAATCAAAAAGTCTGGGGCTTGTTGAACAGAAGGCGGGTAAATTCTGTAAGTTCTAGAACTTGCGGTTCAAGTTTAAATGCAGCCAAGCCATTCACGAAGCCTTCCGTGCAGGCCCTACTCGACCCTAATTCCCTCGACTTTCCCTCAAAGGATTCAAGTCATGTCGTGCTCATGCCGCTCCCGACTTGTGGGCTACGCAATGCTGAGCCGATGCCCTGAAGCCTGAACCCAGGCCTGGTGAGGCCCCTCTTACACCCTTAAAGGCCTCTTCAAAGTTTACCTCATCCCGTAGCTCTCAACGGCTGAGGGGCTCCACGGATGAGTTGGCGGTGCAGTTGGTCATGCGCGTCGTTTTGTGAGATTCCTGGTCAGCTTAACGGTTTCTGACAAGGGTCAAAAAAGGTTGTAGGGTCTTAAGGGTTTTTGGAAGATGTTCAAACAGTCTGCCGTTTCTGTTTTGGGGTGTGCGGCTCAGGGCTCGGGGGCCCACTGCATCCGATCCAAATCATCAACCACATTATTTGCGTGTCGCGTAGACGTCTCTATTTCGGCCGCCGAAAACAAGTAAGGCTATACAGGGAGACACTCACAGTTCTTAAGCGCAAAAACAGATTGGCGCGCATAAGCTGGACGTTTAAGCTGGCAGAACGCATGCCTGAACTCACCGTAGCCTTTCTTACTTCGAGAAGCCTTTGAAACGAACATCCAGTTCCCGCATGCGACAAAAACAGCAAACCTAGTTGATGCCCAAACCATGAACCCCAAACCGAAACTTGAGGCCGTACAAGCCCTCAAGCCTTACTGCACAATTCAAGGCCTGAATGAGAGGCACGCAACTTAAGGCAGAAGCGCTGAATCAACCCCAAGACTTGCATTTTTCTTTTGACCGCTACGCGCATGTTGTCCTTCTCTTCGTTTATTCCGTTTCCGTGATTGTCCTCGAAGAGTATGAAACCACATGCTATGGAACATGTGGGAAGAGTTCGGTGGTTGGGGTGGGGGTGGGACGCAAGCCTAGGGGTGTGAGCCGACCTACACCCTCAGTCCCCAAATTCCCAAGTTGAGTTTTGTCCCCAAGGCTCCACCGTGTCGCTGACGTTGGCGGTCGCATTGCATCCGTTGAAGCCTGGGCCGCATCAGGGTCCAAATTGGTTCCCCCCGCCCCCCCCTCCCAGCGAGGCAAAGACCCCCCCCCCCCCCCCCCTCCCCCAAAGGTGAAAAAACAGACTGCTCGAAACAGGCCTTTCTACTATTTGCTTTAAGAACCCCGAAAAAATAGAAATGAGCAAATCTTCCTTACAAGGGCAAGATAGGGATTTTTTTATTGTGTTTTTTGGGGGTTCTCAAGCAAATAGTAGCTTGTTAGAGGCAGATCACGGTCGAAGCAAGACTGAAGGACCGGGGCAAGGGTTTAGGGTTTAGGGTTTAGGGTTTAGGGTTTAGGGTTTAGGGTTTAGGGTTTAGGGTTTAGGGTTACAGAAGGCACGAAGCAGAGGAGGCGGGGGACTCCCAAGCCGGATCATCGTGCCACGCTAGACCCCACAACCACATCAAACATCCCAAGGGGCGGCCCCACTCGTAGAAGTCCTGGACTGTCTCCTCACCGTGGCCAGGTGCCTTTGAGTGCTTCTCGGCAGGCTTCTGAGGGGGTTGAAAGCGTTTAGGGCTTCTGGGGGTGAGGGTTTGGGTGTCAGGACTTTGGGTGCGAGGGCTTCCTATCTCCTGACTTGTTTTGTTGCTGGTGCGATTTGGAGTTGACAGCTTCATGGAACAAAAGAGGGGACTGGACTGTTGGCGGCACATGACCTTGCCATGTCTTCCACTCGGGCGTACGAGCAAAACGTGCCGGAACTTGTCGCGCACACTAGGCGCTTCTGTTTTGCGGCCCCACAAAACAAGAAGGGGATGGCAGGAAAGCAGAAGGAGGGCCAGGCAAGGATGAAGAACAAAGCACGTGGCAGGACGTCATGCGGCTCGCCTCAACCAAACTCTGTCTTCTCTCAAAGCAGAAACACCCCACAGACAGGCCACGGAACCACGCATCTCCAGTTTTGGATCCAGGGTTGGAAGCTTCCAGGAGATCAGGAGTGGGTCTGGAGGATACCAGGGAGGCCATAGGAGTGATCCGAAGACCCCTAAGTTGGAGACCTCGCAGAGGCTTATCGGACGTAGGCACAGGGCTTTGCATTTTTGCATCGTTCATGGCCTCTGAGTGCAGGAATTATCTCTACCGCTAGAACAAGTACCCCCCCCTGGAATGCAGTTAAGAACCGGCATCGAGAAAACAACAATCAACCGTCATTGTGTGGTCAATTCTGGCCTGTGGCCTTGCTTTATTTTCGACGACGCATTGGGGCTGAGGGTGCATTGAAGGGCATCGGAATGTTCGTACTCTGTCTTACCCTAAATCCGAAACACCCCAAACCTTAAACGAAAAACGTGGTGCCTGAACTCCTGAGCTGTCAAACGAGAGCTCTCAAACACGTCGTGCCTTGAGGTGGATCCCCATGATCGGCATAGGGCGCTTGGCAGCATTTGTGGTGGGGAACTCCTTGAGCTTTGAGCAGTGAGTACGGCAGTACTGTCGATGCTTCGGGAGAAAATTGACGTCTGTATATAATTTGGGGAAGAATGTGCGTGCGTGTGTGTGTGTGTGTCTGTCGATTCCAAATTTCCAAATTGTAGGGGAGATTCATGGTGAAATTGAACTTGAGGGTCTGCCCTGCCCAACACGCTGGCCATGAAACTTGTAAGAGCCCCTGAAATGCAAACAGCAAGGGTCATATGAGCCAAAGTAATCAGCACTGACAGGATCGCTCGAGGTTTTAGGTTAGGTTTGGGGAGAATACAGGGTTGAGGTTTCCAACTGAGAGTCTGTTGTTTTTTGAGTCGCCCAAACAAAAGCTTCATTTGCTTTCCCCAAGAAATCGACCACCCAGCGGCGAAGCCCTGCACACTGGCCGCCGCAGCCAGCTTCGAAGACAGCCTCTTCTTACGATCTAGACCCAAGAGGAACCTAGGAATACAGAAAAAGGGGTGCCCTTTTTGGGTTTCAAGGGGGGGCTTCGAAGGGAACCCAAACCCTTAAGAAAACACTCTGGGTTCCAGTGATTGGGGACTTCAGGCCCAGGGTTCGAGGTGACATCGCGGGAATCAGGAGGTCCTCCAAACATCGAACAGCCCAGGAGAACCCAGGCGACGCACGAAGACTTTTATCGGGTGTCGGCAAGCCGCAACTAAACCAGAACAGCAAGCAACGCCCAAGTATTAGGGTCGAGAAAGAAGGAGGAAGGTACCGGAATACGCCACAGAACTTCAGTCCAACAAGCTCCGAAGAGCAAAGCTCGATGCCGAACATTCGTAACCCGTCATTTGCAACTTACAAACCCGAGCGCAGACCTCCTTACAATCCCTAAAGCTGCCGAAGCCGCGCTTTGGAGAAAGGGGGGCTGGGAAGGGCTTTGCCCTAAATCCTAAACCCTATATAAACCCCATATAAACCCTGTATAAACCCTATATACACCCTATATAAACCCCATATAAACCCCGTATAAACCCTATATACACCCTATATAAACCCTATATAAACCCCATATAACCACTATAGAAACCCTATTTGGAGCTCGGGTGGCCGTTGGATGTGGTATGTTGAGATTTTGGGTAGCGAAGGTGTCCGGAGCCCGAAGCATCACGCAGCCAATGACAGCGGATCCGCTGAGAAATCATGCGCCCCGTGCAAAAAAGCAAGTGTTGCGAACAGGTTTCTCGATCGGATGGCACACCCTAAACCCGGAACCCTAAACCCGAAACCCTACCACACTTCGTGTGCTTTCTAGGAGTGCTACGTCTCGGGCCACCTGTGAAGTTGAAATTGGGGCAGTTGAGGGTTTTGTCAGCTTAGGGCTTTTGGAGCTTTGGGGTACGAGCATGTCATCTTGAACTCATGCGGATGATACGTCCATCCCCTTAGAGTCACAGATTCCAGCAGCAGTCCGCAACACCTAAACCCTCCCCCGCAACATAAATACCCAAAGCTTCAGCAACAGAAGCCGAACCCCTGAACAATGAACCCAAAGAGTCCATGCCACTAAAAAGTATATACTTGGGCCTTAAAGGGGTCCCTATATGGCAGCTTGAGGGTCCAAATGTTTACTTGAGTACATGGATTCTTAGGGGAGCCAGTACAAGGAAAGGTCGGACTGCAGCTTGGCTGCTCGGAAGCCAGCCAAGAACAGAGGCGGCCGCCGGACCCATATCCAGCGCAGTAAATCCCTGGCAACTGTCGGGTTGAGGGAGTGTAGAGCTAGCAGGGCTATGAGGAGCTAGGGATTTTAGAGCCAGCGGGCTATGAGGGCTTTGTTTGAGGGTTTGGACAGTTCAGGGTGACTATATAGCCTCTTGCGGGTTAGACCGCTTGCTGGAGCTTTGGGCTTCAGCTTCATAACAGCGTTGTCTCCCTGGAACTCAATACCCCGAATCGTTCAGCCCCAAGAGGTCGACAACAAGGCGATCACAAACTGAATCCACCTCGTGATAGGGTCCACCCAAAGTCCCTAGAGGCGAAGAAAGCTTGGACACAAGTGTGCTCACCACGATGTTGCCCCGGTCCCTTACCTTCAACCATCTCTCGTTGAAATCCCAAGTCCTAAGCCCACTGAAAGCACTACACCCTGTATCGATTCCCTAGATCCATGACCTGGCCCATAAACCTCCAACCAATGCAGGCGCATGCGCGGCCAAGCGGCTGGAGGAGTCCACGCAAGGAACTCGCACCAGCTCGAGCCTCGTTTGAGGGTGTCGGATGCTTTTGCCCAAGGCTGAGAGTTAAAGACAGGGGTTTCATCCTAAACCCCAAGCGCTCTAAACCCTAAAGCCCCAAAGCTACTCACAAATCGGTACCATGATTACCGAAACTCCTTCCTTGGAACTGCCAAGCTGCCCAAAGGAACCACACATTTCAACATCTGACCCCAGTCCACCTCTAAGACTTCTGGCAAGTGGGGGCTAGTGTGTAGGAACCTGAAACGCAGTGCCGCAACTCTGATTGCCAGGCAAAGGCACGGTTTCTTGAAGATAGATCTGGTGCCAACTTAGCCATGCCCTCACACACTAATAACACTCCGCGGGCCTTGCACGCATCGAGTGAACTACATCTTTGAACGCCATCATATTCACGATTTACAGTCAGTAGTGTGCGTAATCAGACTAGCAAGAGTGAAGGCCATCAGAAAATGGCGACAAGAACAGTGAACCATGTCACACATTCTCTGGAACACCATGCACGTTGGCTTCGCAAACCTTCGATCGGCCAGCAGTTCCTCCTCACAAGCCGGCCTTTTCTCGGGACTACTGAGCGGACGCTTTGTTCTTTTGCACACAGCTGTCCAGTCTTCCTTCACCCGAACATTCGCCGAAGCGGCTGCCCCTTTCGCGGCCCTTTCCCGTGCCCGGGAATTCAGACCCAAGCTACGAAACCACATCGATAGGCAATATAAGCACGGCATAAGATAGTCTAAGCATGGCCCCTTTCGCAGCCCTTTGCGCCACCCTTTCCTGGGCGGTGGTTTTGCCGCAATTCAAAAACACAATCCGATGGATGTTCCGGACTCTCGGGTGGCCCCCATGCCGGCCACTTGGCCCAAAGCACAGCCCTGTACGAGCGCTGGGGCAACAGACCCTTGGAATAACATCCCCAACCCTAAGCCCTAAACCCCATACACACAATTTCCTTCAACCCTCAGCCACCTCGAACAAATCGCGAATCTGCCATCCCTACGCTGGCCTCACGAAACACTTCAAGCGATTCCGCCTAGGATAGCCCTTAAACCACTCCGAATTGTTTTTGTTGAGTAGGATCCTCTTGAGCCCAATAGGTTGGGATGTCCCCCCCCCCCCCCCCCCCCTATACGAACAGTCCTTCATAGGGATGATTCTAGGGGGTACTATCATCCCTATTAAACACTGCTAGTATAAGGGGGAACATCCCAACCAATAGGGGAAAGTATAAGAATGTTTCAAGAGCCTAGCGAGCCGAGAAGCAGCTTCTTGATGAACTCTGCCTCGTTTGGCCCTTTCGTGGTGCTGTCTGGCAGGTGAAACTGCCTGCCGCCACAACATCACTCTTCCCTAGACCCTAAACCCTAAACCCTAAACCCTGAACCCTAAGCCCTAAGCCCCAAACCCCAAGCCCTAAACCCTTTTCATCAAGGGCTCTGGGGCTCAGCGTGCAAATCTCGTAAAGGTCCGGCTGCTGGACCTTTTAGAGAAGACGAAACGATCTTAACAGAGTAGAAAACTCACAGCAAGTCGCACAACTCTGCCCCAGCTCTTGCAAGCTTCCGAAACTGGCTTCCTTAATCTGAGGCTCACTAGCGATTCTGGCACCTAGTGCACTCCCGAGTCAATATATTGGGTCTGCGACGTGTAAGTGCGGTGTCGCTTGTGAGGGGAGGGTTTGGGTTTACCAAAAACGTTCTGAAAGGCGGGTGGCTCCGCTTTATGCCCCGATAAAGGCTTGGGGTAGCACCAAAAACAACTCCAGCAAACCGTTTTGGGGAGGGTCTGAGGTCTCGTGGAAAGACTACGGTCTTGCCATCGTGGGCAGCCAAGACGAAGCATGTTTGGCATAACTCTACCTGAAAGATTTGAAGGACAGTCATAAGGAAGGAAAGAAGTAACTTCAAACCATGAAGAAATCAAGTAGGGAACCCCACAGCGCATCGGCTCTACTTGCCAAAGTGGCCCCAGATGACACACTGACGGATGCCTGCCTGTTGTCTCCAGCGCCCGATGTTGCCATGAGTGCTATCCTCAACAGTGTGCAGTACATTGATTGTGGCAAAACTGCTGGATGGACCTGCTATTTTTGCGGGACACAAGCAAGTTCGAGGAGGATGAATGTCACACAGATGTTTGGCATGCACCCTGCACCTTGCAGAGGCTCCCAATGTGAAAAGAGGAGGCTGTGCATATCTTTAGAATGATCTCTGTCCCTTTCGGGCCTCATCCGTCCTTAGCTTGGGATCGCCTAGATGAGGACGAACCGTTGAAAGAGCTTTTGACAGACTTACGTGAAATCCGTTGGACCCAACCAAAATCCAATCCCTCTACTAGCACCACTTCTTGCATGATAGCAAAGCCTGCAACCCATTTCCTGGGCTTTTTGACGCCTTCAAACCAGTTTAAGGCTTCGAGGCTGCTTAG